AAAAATAAATAAATAAATAAATTATTAAATGAGATGTTCGAACAGCAAGCAGCACGAATTCCGTCGCAGCGCACGTGAAGATCAACGCCAGAGCATCGCGATGAGACTGAATAACAGATCTTAACAGATCGAAGGCCCTGGCCGGCGGCACACAGGTGCGGGCGAGCTGGGGTGCTCTGGCTGGGTGCCGCTGCCTAGGGGCGGCTGCTCTGGGCTGAGCGGACAGCGAGCGCGTGGGTACAGCGCTGCCCATTTAACAGCTTGATAAATGAATGAAACGCGTCGCACTCGATTTGCGGCAATTGTGAGCAACGATTGAAGAGCGACGGTGATGGAGTGAGAGAGGGGAAGTGAGGGGGAGCGAGAGTAAGGTAAAAAGCACAGCTAAAAGCTCTGGAGGGTATCTCTGCAAGGGTGACTGAAGCGATGAAGCTAAATCAATGCAAAGCACCCACAACAGGTGTGCGCTAAAAGCTCAAAGCTCACGCATTCAACTAGACTGCAGTCTATCCAGAGACATTCAGATGTCTGAAGCTAAGCCAAAAGCTTGCTAGCTGCAATTTGTTCAAAAAGCGAAAAAGTCCACATAGAAGGCGCCTTCAAAAAGCTCGCTTACAGACAAAAGCTGCCACCAACTGGAAATCCTTAAAGCTTTACACCTTTAGTCACTTCCTCATACAGCAGCTGCCCGAAGGCAGCTCAATGTCAAAAGCTCTTCGCAAACATAAAATACTAATAGCCAAACGCCAAAAGCTTTAAAGATCTTCAGGCGCCCACTGGCCTGGGCAAAGCTTCACAGCACAGACAATATCAAAAGCTCAAAGCTCAAGGCTCAGACCTAGTGATCCCTATCAGTGAAAGCTGTTGAACAAGCCGACAAGACTTTACTTCGCCTTTCAATTATATTGTTATAAATTATAAAAAGCATAAAGCTCTGGAGCTTCCTAAAGCTCAAATTTATTACGATTATAGAGCAGAATCAAAAGATCGTTGTCCATGGAAATTTTGACAGATCTCTTTCTCTTTTGGTGTTTTTTGCAAAAATATGTTGTTTTTTTTTCTGTATATATATTTTTTTTTTTTTTTGTGGTTTTTCGCTTTTAATTTTTATTTGTGGCTTCAGTTTAGGATTTCGGTTTGTCCCCGCTTTTTGGTGGGGCAAGTGCTTTTGGTGGGGCGGCTGCTTTGGGTGGTTCAGCGGCTTTTGCATCCTTTGGCTCAGCATCTTTATCTTTGCCCTTGTCATCGCTAGCTGGCTTGCCATCCTTTCCATCCTTGCCCTTCGCAGCCGCTGCCGCCGCTTTCCTGGCCTTGCTCTCTTCGCTGGCCTTCTTCTGCGCCGCTACAAACGCCGCATCGCCAATGGGCACATCCTTCATCTCGCTGGCAGGCGTACGCCTCGACTTGCCAAAGCAGACGTCCGCAACGTTTTTGTGCTTCAGATTGAAGCCAGAGACGCCACGTATACTGGGCTCCAGATTTTTCGAATAGATATCGGCAACCAGCTCATCCAAGCCCACCTCGCGATCGGTCAATATCTTCTTGGAGATCGCCTGGAGATCTTTGCGCACTTTGGCATCGATCTTCTTCAGCTCCTCCTCGTCGGCCAAGCAGAGTTGAAGGATTTGCTTGCGGAAGCTTTCGATGGGATCCCGTTTGGAGCGTATCGTTTTCACCTCATCACGCGACCGGTATGCCGTACCCGGATCGGACATTGAGTGACCCTCATAACGGTACGTGCTCATCTCCAGCACAATCGGGCCACAGTTCCTCGCATGCTCGACGGCAAACTGCGTGGCACTGCGCACGGCCAGCACCTGGTTGCCGTCGACCCAGAGGCCGGGTATATACTGGCCGCGCATATAGAAGTCGGTAAGGGCCGCATGCCGATCGACGCTGGTGCCCATGCCGTAGTGATTATTCTCGCAGACAAATATGCAGGGCAGGCCCCACAGCTTGGCCATGTTGTACGCCTCGAACACCTGGCCCTGGTTGCTCGCACCGTCGCCATATAGTGCGACACAGACACCGCCGTCGCCCTTATAGCGATGCGCCAGCGCGATTCCGGCGCCCAGCGGCACTTGGGCCCCAACTATGCCATTGCCACCGTAAAAGTTGTCGCCGTAGGTGTGCATCGAGCCGCCTTTACCACGGCTGCAGCCGGTCTTAACGCCGACCAGTTCGGCAATTAATCCGTATGCCGAGACGCCCATCAGGTAGGTCCAGGCATGGGCACGATATGCCGTTATTACACTATCCTTTTTCTGCAGCACCGCGCACATGCCGACGGCCACCGCCTCCTGGCCATTGTACAGATGGCAAAAGCCCCGAATATGCTTCGCCTTGTACAAATTATTGCAAACCACCTCGATTCGACGCACCTCCACCATCTGCGTGTACATTTTCAATGCGTCCTCACGTGATAATTCCACGTCCATGGGCGGTCCCTTCTCCAGCTCATAGCACTTGAAAGTCTAGTCAGAGGTATACAATGAATCGATATTGATAGTCTTCTCTAAGGTGGAAATCTAGCTGTAGCTGTCCCTCCCCTTTCCTCTCTCTCTCACTCTCTCTCACTTTCTCTCACTCTCTCTCTCTCTATCTCTAGTTCTTTCTCTTTCTCTCGATTTATAATGGACTTGATCACACACTACTTTTACCTTATTTGGTACACTCGATCTCTCGTCAATTCACTTATTAGATCTCATTTCTTGTTTTGGGTTATTATATCCATTCTGACTGATCTATCTCATTCTCGCTCTCTAGCTATTTCTTCTGTGTCTCTCTCACGCGCTTTGCACTGTATACCTTTCGCTTTCTCTCCATCTCTCTCACACTAACACTTTCAGTCTAACTTATTCTCTTTATATTCATCTCAATCTCTATCTCTGTATTTCGCTCTATATCTAATTATCTTTCTGTCGCGCTCTATCTCTCTTTAGCTCTCTCTCTCTCTCTCTCTATCTCTCTATATATCCCCTCTCTCCCTCTCTCTCCTCATTTCTCTATCTACAATTAGGTCTTCTTATCGATCTCGCTCTCTCTCTCTCTTTTACACAATCTCTTGCGCTCTCGACTTGTATCCTTCACTGTCCCTCGCGCTCTCTAGTTCCCTCTCTCCCTATCTCTCGGTACATCTACTTCTCTGAATGTCTTCTGGTCATGCTCTCACTATCCCTTTCTCATTCTCAATCCGTCTTTCTCTCAGTCTACATTTATGTCTCTCTCTCTCTCGCTCGCCCGCTCTCCCTACACCCCGATTTTCCTCTCTCAGCTTGTTTCTCTCATGACTTACGTTCTTCAGCGTCAGCGTTGAACAGCCCGAACTAAAACGTCGAGGCCGCCACCAGATCCCCAAGGGCGAACACTTTTTACCCCCAGTTAAATTATAGAGCAATTGGATCTGCAATAAATATCGACGGCTCTTACAGACCCGCTTAGCTGTTGACATCATATTAAAGAATGTTCGTTAAAAGAAAAAAACTGTAAGCGCTAAGGTTTTTATTGGTCGGACCCCACAATGCTCTGGATGTAGACTATTCAATTTGAAGATATTAATAACGTATTCGTCGAAAGGCCTAGGAAATTACGAATTTTATACTAAATTTAAAAGTAATGCCGCATTGAAAATAAGTCTTACAGAAAGTCAAAAATAAAATGCCAAAAGAATCTAAAGAATACTAAAATAATTTTAGAATTACCGATTAATGCTTCAATGTGTTCTAGGTTTACGACTTTACGACCCCACTCGACTTTCAAATAACATTTCGATCTCTTGCTCTTATACACATATCGCTCAACTCTCGCCATGTTATCTTCGATTTGCTCCTACGAGATTCAGTCTCCCGTATTCTTGTCATCTCACACGGCCGTACATAGTTCACAGAGCTCAACACATATTTGATACGTACATATGTAGTTAATTTATATTTCAACAATTTACACCTCGCTTTAACCAAATTGAACACGTTCATATAATTAATATCCGTTGCCATTGCTGTTGCCACTGACTGGCCCATGTTGTGTGGTTGAGTGTGTATGGGAGTGGGCAGGGTGTGAACAATTCGTGGTTAACTACGTTGTCTTTGCGTGTCTTTGAACTTGTATGTATGTATGTGTGTGTCTGTATTTAAGGCTATACGAAATATTATATTGCATTCACAATCGCACGCATCATTCACAATATATGCGCATAGTTGTATAAAATCGTATAGTATACGCAATGGATTTTAACTACTTGGAAAACAAAATTTTTCTAACATCAACTTTCGGCTTATGATCTAGAGATTTCGCTTGCTTTATGTATGCACGTGTGTGTGTGTGTGTGGGTGTGTGTGTTTGTGTGGTACTAAAGAATCGTTGCTCTTTAACCTCCTAATGATTTACACCCTTTCGCTCCTGGATGTGATCTATGTCGTAGCCGTTGGTGCCACGCAGCTTGGGCTCCAAATTGTTGGAGTATACATCGGTCCACAAATGGCTAACGGGCAACTCGGTGCCGTTCTTTGCCTGAGCAGTGGCTTCATCCACTTCCTTGCGCACCTTCAGATCAATCGCCTGCAATATAGAAATGTGTCAATAATGTTCATTCCATATAGAGATTGCAGTCGCTTTAACCTTGACTTCATCGGTGGTAATCAGACCCAATTCAATGCACAGCTCCTTGAAGGAGGTAATGGGATCACGTTTCTGGCGCACCTCCTGGATCTCCTCGCGTGTGCGATACGATGTGCCGGGATCGGACATGGAATGGCCCGAATACCGATAGGTGTTCGTCTCCATTACCAACGGTCCTTGCTCGTTCACATACTTGATGGCGAACTCTGTGGCACTGCGCACGGCCAGCACATCCATGCCATCCACCCAGATGCCGGGCAGAGCATCGCCACGCGTATAGTAATCCGTATTGCAGGAGGCGCGCTCCGCGCTGGTGCCCATGCCTGTTGTGAAAGTTAGATTAGTTAGATAGATATGGATAAGCCGTATTTTTAAACTGTTCACATACCATAGTTGTTGTTCTCACAGACAAAGATAACGGGCAGCTTCCACAGATAGGCCATGTTGTAGGCCTCGAAGACCTGGCCCTGATTGGCAGCACCGTCGCCATAAAGGGCGAGGCACATGCCGCCGTTGCCCTTGTACTTGCAGGCGAGGGCGACACCAGCGCCGAGGGGCACTTGGGCGCCGACGATGCCGTTGCCGCCATAGAAATTCGGGCAGTACATGTGCATGGAGCCGCCCTTGCCGCGCGCACATCCGCTCTGGACGCCCGTCAGCTCGCCGAGCACGCCCAGCGGCGGCACGCCCATCAAATATGTCCAGCCGTGCACACGATAAGCCGATATAATGTTATCCACGTCGCGCATTGCCGCCTTCATGCCAACCGCACAGGCCTCCTGGCCGGAATACAAGTGGCAGAAGCCGCGAATGATCTTCTCCTTGTACAGATTGCCAGCAGCCGTCTCGATGCGCCGAATAGTCTGCATCTGTGTGTAGTATTTGAGCGCCTCATCCTTTGTTAGCTTCACTGTCGTCTCCGGACCTTCTTCCAGGCGATGCAGCTTAAAGGGCTATTGCACACGACAGCGATAGAGAGAGGAATATGCAAATAAAACGTGTGAGTGAGCGAGCATATGAAACAACATGAGTGAAAGGGAGACAGCTGCATATTGTTTGCTAAGCAAACGTTACATTTTCGATTTACAGGGATTTTATAGCACATTTTAAGACGCAAATTAAAGGTATTTTCATGAATTAAAATTGCACTGTTATTTATGAAACTAATTTCGCTTTAAATCAAAGATTTAGCAAGTAATTGCTTTTACAATTTGAATGAAAAATGCAGCGCACACAATTGACACACACTGCTATGCGTATGTTGATATTTTTCTAAAACGAGGTATTTTTTAGCACATTCTTCATTTAATACTCATGCGTGCAAAGTGTGCTATTTTGGTGTTGATAAACTGTCTCGAATTATAATTTGATTTCCTTGTGGATTTGTACTATAGTAATATTATATATTACATTGAACAAAGTTGCAGCATCTCATTTGCATAACCTATCAATCAGTTGTTATTAGTGTTGGTGCTAGCAGCACCAACAACAACCGTATTCTGATAAGAAAGTGCGTGTTGTGCTCATGCTGCCGCTATCGCTGCCGCTGCCGACGTCGGTCACGCGCTGCCCGCAAGACTGTGTTAGTCAATGACCTTGGCGCCGGCAATGCAACTAACTAATCGACAACGCGCAAATGCAACACTGCGCAATCAGGTCATACACTAATGGACAGACGGACGCACACACGCACACACGCACACACAGACACACACCAGCATACATTATGTAATCGGCAATTTCTTTCTGCTTGCTAGAACTTGATGTGGGGGCGGCTGATTGTTACTGCTGCCCTAAAATACTCACTCGATTCACTTGCACGGTCGCTTCCGTGGCATAATTATTGGTCTTTGCGACACCGGCCTGTGCTGCATTCTGGAATAAACCGAAAAATGACGATGAATAACTGCGTCTGCTGTCAAATCTTAGGTGGTTTTTATGTTGTTGTCTTCCAATGTTGTTGCTGCTGTTAACATTGCTGTTGTAGTTGCTCCTGTTATTGTTGTTGTCACTGTAACTTCTGCTGCTTCTGTTGGTTTGCTTTGTATCTTGTTGTTGTTGTTGTTGTTGGTGTTGCTTCGTATTAGTGACAGTTACAATTGTTTTGTTAGTGACAGCAACGGCTGCATTACAGTTACGTACTTTTTGCAATTGCTTAACAATAATTGGCAATTCACTAACGCGCGACAACGTACGCAACATTTTCACGGCTTTCGTTTTCGACTATTCTCTCTCGTTCGCGTAACAGCTGCTGGTCAATGGCTACAAAAAAATACGCTAATTTGAATACCAAATGATACTAAATATGCCACATTTTGAAAAAAGATACTGTAAATACTATATATATTTGATATATTTGTGTAAGGCTTTTTAAAGCTCAATAGTTTATTTTCAAAAATATGAATTTTTAATGGCCAAAAACTAAGACATTTGTGGCCTAATTTTCCACATGGCAAAATGAATTTCAAAATATACTAAATAACCTCACAGCTAACGAATATTTTGAAAAAAATATACTGTAAATAATTTATGATTTGGTATTATATTTGATGCAGCTTTTAAAAGCTCCAAAAGAAAAGGTTAATTTTCAGTGGATAAAAAATATACAATTAAATTCCCCACATGACAAAAAGTGCTATAAATTATACCAAATAAACTTGAGGCTATCGTGGAAAAACTGTTAAAATTTCAAAACTTCAATGTTCAATGACAATATAAATGTCTGCCACATAATACCAAATAAATATATCAGAAAATATAAAAATATGGTCACCTTAGCATTAGTATTTAAATGATTTGAAAACTTAAAGCTTCATTTGATTTAGAAAAACAAAAGCCAACGGTAATTTTAAGCTATTTAAAAGTTTGTCAACTTCTACGACGACCATCGACTCATTCTCATTACCTGAAATACGCCCAGAATAAATAAAATACATTGTCTTCAAGAAGTACTTTTATTTCACATTAAAGATCTCATTTGGTTTTTGTTTCTGTTTATTTTTTGTTTTTCTTTCACTTGTCTTCTTATTCGTATATATATATACTTTTAAATATTCCATTTCTGCACCTTCATCATATAATAATTTTCTAGTTCTTATAAAAAAAAACTTATGCACACAATTGAACTAAAAGTACACAGATTTTCAAGTAGAATAAATTGAACTTTAAAAAAATACTAAAAATAAATACGTAAATTATTGAGAACATTTACGAAACTAAAGTTAAGTGTGCTAAACTAAACTATTTCTAGTTTTTAACAAATTCTAGTAATTTCAGCTCGAATCTTTCAGTTTGCGAATTGATTGAACATAAATGAGAGGAAATTGAGAATTTATATGAATATTTTGCAGTTGTAATTGAAGCTAAGGCAAATCAAATGCGTAAATTCAAATGTTCAAAACAATCGCTCAATTTCTCTACAAAAATTAATAGTTTTTTTTTTTTCAATTTACTTTAGATATTTTTTTCACTCAATTCACATCAATTTTCTTATTTATTTTCCTTTCTTTTGTTTTGTTCCGTTTCCATTGAAGTTTTACATCAAAAATTGTATTCATATATATATGTATTTAAATACATATATATGTGAATACAATTTTTGATGTAAAACTTCAATGGAAACGGAACAAAACAAAAGAAAGGAAAATAAATAAGAAAATTGATGTGAA